CCCCTCTTCCTCTCTCCTCCTCCTCCTCCAGGTGAAGGCAGCGCTCCATCCTCCATCGCCATCTCCATCGCCATCCGTAGGAAAAGGTCCCCTCCACCTGCCCACCCGCGGGGTGCCACCAGCCCCCTTGGCCCACCACCCCCCAGCCCTGGGGAGCTCGGTCCCTGGCTGCCCTCGTCCCCTTACTTGTGTTGTCCTTGAACAAGTCGGAGCACTTGACGCAGGACCTGGTTAGGAGGTCGAAGCACTGTGAGGAGAGGCAGGAGAAGGCAGCAGCAGCTTTTCCTGATGAGGACATGGTGGAGTGGGAGTGAGAGCCTGGCTCCCGCATGGCACGGTGGCGAAGGGGCTGCTTGAGTGTGAAATCGCAGCGCCCCGGGGCCCGTGGCAGAGGGAGATACAGTCTGTCAAGCTGCGTCGTCTCCCTTGGGGCTTGAGATCACTGTGCTTGCCCTGGGGCGGATCTTCACCGGGGAGGAGGAGAGAGAGAGCGCCCAAGCCCTACCCCTGCCTGCCCATGCAATGCACCCTCAAACTACCTCTCTTCTCCAAAATATGATTCTGAAATCCCGCAGCCCCTGGCATGCCCCAGCCACGCAGCACCCCGTGCCCAGCGGCATGGTGCCTCAGCCCGACAGTGTCACCTCCTCGGCCCTCACCCTTCCCCAGCCCACCCGTATGTTGCCCTCAGCCCAGGCATATCCCCCAGCCCACACCCTCCCTTGCCGGCTGGCAAAAAGCCCCCTTGGCATCCTCTAGTGCCTATAGGAGACTTCCCTGTGCCCAGATCTTTACAAGACCCCATTCCAGGGCTATGGATCTGGCTTGGATGGAAAATGCAGAAAAGGACCAGAGGAGAAAAGAGTGCAGGGACACTGAGGTTTCCCCTTCTCAAAGCTCCCACTGCCCCCAGGACACGGCCTGTTAGTGATTGCTGTGTGGGCAAGCCAACTGGTGTGTGTTCTCCATCCCTACTAATGATGGTGCTCTCCATCACCTTGCTCTCTCCATCCCAGACCTAGACCTGTGGCAAGGACCCTCCCAGCCTTTTGGCAACATGTCTCATTCTCTGGGATACAGATCTGGCTCTGCTCAGTAACTGCCCAGGGCATGGGCAAAGCAGGTCACACCAAGCAAGTCTGGTCCCCATACCCTTGGAAGGGACTAAATAAACCCTTAATGGTCTTAGGTGTTCCTGATCAGGAGCAGGAGAAACGTCTTGCCACTGACACCCGCACGTCAAAGCCTGATGCTTGAGATCTGAAGTGGATAAGTGATGGATTTCAGTGCTGTAGGTGGCTCTTCTCCATCCTTACTAAACAAAAGTTACGTCCCCTTTTTCTTCACCCCATAGGAAAGAAAGGGACCAGCTGCAGTTGCTGGCTTGCTCTCAGCTGAAGGAAGCAGCACAGGAGACCTACCCTGGCCAGGAAAGCCCTAATGGGTCTTTACTGCTGCAGTCCCATCCTTGCAGCAGCTATGGCCTCTGGGCTCTTTCTAGTGAGGTCTCTGCCACTCGCTGTCCTGGACTGAGGCTGGGAGGGGAGGAGGAGAAAAGCCAAAGGATGCTCTGGCTCGAGGTGACAGAGTATCAGACATCCCCACTGGGCAACCGAGCTCCTCTGAGACAGGCCAGAGGACTTGGTCCCTGGATGTGTCTGCCACTCTCCAATGGCTTTTGGGCAAACAGCCCACAGCCTCTGCACCCCACCCCCTGAAGCCCTGGGTGGGAGCACCAGCTCCCTGCACTGGGTCACAGCCCAAGCATGGCTCTCCAGCACCCCGTGCCCCATAGGGCAGGAGCTGCCCTATGGCAGGGACCTCCCAGCCCCCCAACCGCATCTCCCTCCCTGCTGGCAGCATCCCCGGAGGGTGGCTTGCACCAGGACAGTGCCAAAGCGGCCCCAGCACTGTCTCAGCCCCCCCCGCTGGGTGCCGTGGGGCTCCGGGTGAGTGAAAGTCCCAACCAAAACCGGTCACTGCCTGCCAGTTCAACGCCTGCCGCGATTTCACTTCCCTTTCCAGCCGGCGTGCTCAGCCGCTCGCTCCCTCGCCCCTTGCACACGTGCACACGTGCACACGTGCCTGCGTGCTGGGGAGCGCCCTGCCCGGCGGCTCTGTCCCGGCGGGGATGGGCATGCCAAGCCCAGGGGCCTGCGGGGCTCCTCCAAAGAGCTGCAAGAGCCCGGCCACCGTTCCTGTACCCGTGACTCAGTTATTCCCCCTCCATCTTAGTCAAAGTAAAACTCCCCAAGTGATCGGGGGCATGCCAAACACTTCCCTCTCTCGGCACGGCCCCGACCTCCTAAGCCACGAGCGGCACAGCCAGCTCAGTACCCTCCACCTCGATCCTTGTGCTGAACAGGCTGTGCTCGCCCCTGCGCAGGTACCTGCTGGGGAAGGACATCTCCCTGTATCCCACCTCACCTGGCTCCCTGCCTCTCGTGTGCCCTGGGCGAGGAGCAGGGCTGTGGTGCAAGCACAGGAGCAGGAGGGGCAAGTGCCCAGCGGCAGGGTGCACCAGGAGCATCTCCGGGGGGTCAGAAAGCCACAGCAGGGAGGGCTGAGGGGTCAGAAGAAAAGCTCAGGCTCACTCCAGGACACATCTGAGCTGCACAGCGGAAAGCCCTGGGGAGGAGAGGGCACCCGGAGCACTCACTGTCCCTGGCAGGCAGCTTGCAGAAGCGTAAGGGTAGGGACTAGGGAACAGAAAACCTCTTGCCTTGTGGGCTGGTGGGGCTGGAGCCGGGCACGGCGGCAGAGGACCCCCACAAAACAGCCAGTGCTCTATCAGAACACCTGCCCCTGAAACAGCTCCCTGCTCCAAAGGCTTTGCTGTTCCTATTGCCCTGGGGTGTTTCCACCCGCTGGTCTTTTCCCAAAGGGGGATGCTCCTGCATCATGGCCTTCTTGCCCTGCCCCCCTGAAATCCCCTCCGCTGTGCTTCCACCCACATCAGTTGACTCTTGGCAACCCCCAGCCCCTAACCCCGTGGGTCCCGCTGTAGCACTGTCACCCCGCCCCTCTCCCTCCCCTCTCCCTTCCCTGCTTGGCTTAATGCAGGGGCAAGGAAATGCATCCTGGCATCTGCTGTACCATGCTTACAGATTAACTCTGTGACCCCTCTAGTCAAATACAGGCATCAGGGAAAGCCCAAACTGAGGTACCTACATGTTGCTTTCGACACAGAGGGTGAGGTTTACAATATTGCTCAGGAGCTGATGGCTCCCGTTTCGGTACCTGGAGTGAAAACCTGAAGCTGCGAATGCATAGTGGGGAGCCCGGGGATGGCAGCCGTGATGTCCTCCCACAAATAAAGTGCTCCCAGGTCCTGTTATGTGGAAGCATGTTGCAGCTTCATTGCCACGATTGATCTTACCCTATTCCCTCCCATTTTCTAAGCCCTCTTTATTCCTCTCTATAGCTCTTTCATGCTCCCTTCCCAGCCTGTCTGCTTCCTCCTGGGCCAAGAAAACGATGTTTGAATTCACACATGATAACACTTACTCATGGAGAAAATCACCGCTGACTTCCCCAGTGGCGCTCGCACGTGTGCCTGCTCACCAGCGTGGCCCAGGCTGCCCAGCCGGCTCCGGGCATCAGCCGTCCGACTCTTCATCTCCCCCATCTTTGCCTCCCCTGCCCTTCGTAATGGCTGTTGATTGTTTTTGGAGCAGCAAAACTTAAAGCTGAGTGAGTAGTTTGAACTGTTTGCATCTAAGAGCTGAATAGGCTTGATAATAGCACAAATGCATAATTAAAGAGCAGAAAAAATGACTCACTGGATAAGGAAATGCGCTTTTCTTATCTCCTCTGCAGAGAAACAAAAGCCCCAGGAGCCTGGGACTCCAGCTAACTAAGTGTTTTTATTAAACAAATAAACCAGCAAAGAGATCAAATGAGCTATTTAAAAATTATGTCTTAATCCTGGAGTCGGAGAGCTCACTTTCCAGTACTGTTTACTCCAACTGTGCACTGGGAGGGCCAGTTTCAGCCGAGGTCGGCTGCTGGGATCCCCATGGAGAGCCCAGCAAGGGACAGGGCAGCGCCAGTGATCCCGAGAGTGGGGAGGGACGGCGGCGTCCTGCGAGTGCTTGTGCACACATGAGCAACCGGACTCGTGTGAGCGGTTCCTCTGGTGTCAGGGGTGGGTGAAGTGACTCACGCACGCGCTTGCAGAACCGCCTGTAGCAGAAAATATCCACCGAAAGTTCACCTTGTGCTCGTGTGCACCGGAAACCCAAAGGCTTGTCGATCAGAGAAGCCATGAGGTGTTTATCAAGCAGACTCAGTTACCTTGGGACAAACCTCTGACAGAATGCACCCAACGCCCCGGGGGAACGCCTCGGCACAGCCTGACATCTGCCCCACATCCAGCTGGTGCCGCTGGAAGGCTTTGGTTGGAGCCAGCCCCCAAAGCACGTTCGGCACCTCATGCCTGCGCCCCTTCCCAGCACCTCTGCGCCTGCTGGTGGGAAGCACCCCCTCCTGAAAGGTCCCACTATGGCTCTCGGGAGCCAGTTTCTCAAGGCTCCAGCACAAACCTCCTCCTTGGGATCTGCCGGGATGCCCCAGCACAGCACAGCCCCCCGCTTTGCTCTGCCTTCTCAAAGCCAGCTGGGCTTAGGGACAAAATCTGGGAAGATTTTAGGAATAACGTGTGAAAATGAAGGCTTCAAGAGATTCACCAACACCCTAAACCCAGACCCCTCCACAGGCGCTCTGCTTCTTACTAAGGATTTTTGTGGCACTGCTCAGCCACCTGCATGGGGAATTTGGCATGGGGCAGTGCCCCAGTGGCACCGGCTCTGCTGAACAACGTTTGTCTCCTCCCCTTCTTGTTTAAAAGCCCCTGGAGCTGTGCTTGTCCATGAGGTTGAGGAAAAACGAGCAGGTGTCCTTGGCTCCCTCTGCAAGGGGACTGGGACCCCTCCAGGGGTGATGCTGAGCACCCAAATTAGGCTTCTATGGTGGGCTGCCCTTTGAAGACCCCTCCAGGTTTGCAAAGGGAGGGCGGTTGGGTCAGCACTGCCTGGGCTCAATCTCCGTCTGCCCATTCCCCCTCCCTGCTCCAGAGAGCCCAAGAGGGACACAGCAGCACTGAGGACATGGGGGACGCCCCCTTCCCCTATCCTGTCCTAGGGGAGCTGAGCCCTTGACCTCCCCTGTCAAGAGCAGGCGGTGGGGGAGAGCAAGGGGTGTTTCCAGCCAGTGTGCTGGCTGCTCTTGCTGCTCTGCAGAGTGCGGTGGGACTCTCGTAGCGAGGCTTGGGTCTCCGGACGCTGCCCGAGCTCTCACAAGCCCCCCCATGTCATGAACGACACACCATTAGCTGAGCCCGGCTCTTCTGCCTGGACATCCCTGCGAGAAAATCCCCCTGCCCGCTCTGCCTGCAGGAGGGATGCTGCCCCCATCCCCACCCTAAGGATGGGTGGGAGCTCATGCTGACCCCCTTGGGTGGGTGGGTGGAGGCCAAGCTTCGCCTGCGGCTGGTTAGGGAGCATTCACATGCCCTGGCAGGGCTGGGCAGCACCTCCAGCAGCGAAACAGAAACAAATGGCTGAGGGCAATGCACTGCTGCACTACAAACCTCCAAGCAGGTGGGTTCAGCTGGTTCAGGCATGCGTATGCCGGGGCAGAAACCTTCCTGGCACACCAGGCTGAGCGCAGAAACCTCCCCAGCACTTGCAGCAGGGAGCCCCACCGCTGCACTCTCAGGGCACGGAGTTCGCCAGCAGACAACTCCAGAGCCAAAAATCAAAGCCCACTGAAGGTGAGGGGCTGTCTCCTTTTGAGCCACCACCCTTTGCAGCTTGCTCCAGCAGCAAGGGACAGGAAACCGGTTGGGTCAGCTTGGAAGTCAAAACTAAACTAAGCAGCCCCAATTGCATTTTGCATAGCGCTTTGTTAAATGAACTGCTCACACGAGAGCTGCAGCTCTGGCTCACATGTGGGAATGGTTTGGTGAATACATTTGAACAAGAAGGCAACTTGAGAAAATAGGAAGGTGCTTGCAAGCGATTCCAACACAGAAGAAATTATGTTTGTCCTGATTGCACTCATCTGTTGCAATTTACTCTGCTGCCTGCCATCCAATCACCCTTCTTCCCCGTACACAAATAACACCCCACCGCCCCTGATGACTGCAGCTCAGCCCCAGCATGGCTGCTCTGCAGTCTTGCTCCTCAGTACTGCTCACAGGAGCCATCCTAATGGAGATGCTAAAAACCAGCAGCGTGCCTGGATAACTTAAAGCACAGCTTAAATGTGGAACAGAACGCACCAAAAAAACCCCCAAAACTCCTGTGGCACCTGCAGATTGCAGCAGTCTAAGCAGGAGTAAGGGTACAAGAGCCTATGTGGTTTCCAGTACTAACCACTGCTCCAGAAACGAGTCCCTGAGCTGGCTTTTGTGGGTGCCTGAGCTGGCTTTTGTGGCTGCCCTGCAGCCTCCCACCACCCTGGGCCTGGGTAGTGGCGGTAGGTATAAGGCCAACCTCCCTCACCCCCACCGCTGGGGAGCTCTGACTTTTCTGTTTGTCACCGCGGGATGATGCCCCGCGAGCAGCTGAGCCATGGGAGTACAGGGATTTTGACTGTAGGCTGCTTGGCTGGTCAGATGCCAAACTCAAGCTGGTTTCAGCCCCGGAGCATTGAGAGGGACTGCAGTGCTGCAGGAGGAATGAGTGGCACGTGTTTGGACATGAGTGCAGCCCCAATCCGGAATGAGAATCAAGGAAGTGTGTTTCTGCTGAGCCGAAGCGGGCTCCGCGGCCGGCCGGGTGCCTCCGGCAGCGAGCTCGTCACCGCCACACCGGCCTGGTGTAAAAAGGCCAGCTTAAATGCAGAATAACATTATGAATTTCAATGGCCGCGTTAAGGATGTGATGTAGGAGAGAGCTGTCAGGAGGATTTGGCCCGTGCCCCTCCTCTCCTGGCTGGCATCTGGGTGCGATGCCTCAGCCATCCTGCCAAAGCCCGGAGAAGCAACGGGGAGAGATGCATTGGGTGGGGAAGGAGAGGAAGGGAAGGGTGATGGGCTGCTGCGGATGCAGAGCTGGGCAGGTGGGGCGGGACTGCCGGCGGCCC